GAATAATAGTGAAAGGTCTCCTTGTTAAAATACATGACTGCCAAAGCATTGGGTACCATCTCTGTTCGAGATGGCATTGGATACCATACCCCTTTCTGAGGCAAGAGACAATTTGCAGGTTTTGACAGGTGTGATTAAAACCTTTCTTTTTAAATTTAAACATGTCCTTTAGAAACCCTATTTTCAGTGATATGCCTCCCCTTCCCTTCCACCCATTCCAGGTGGATTATTTCAGCACCAGTCAATGACTGGGGGTCAGTGGGTGGGAGCTGGCATCTCCTGCACAGCTTCTGTGCCTTACCAGGGTATCCAAATGCTGTGCCTGTAAAGAGAGGGGTGGGAAGGGCACCCCAGTGACCTGTCAGCTCTGCTCAGATGTTATGCAGGAATGATCCCTTTCCACATCCTGCCTGAAATCTGGAGCTGGGCACTGTGGGCACAGGAGGACATCAGTGCTCTTCCAAGTGCTCCCTGCTTCCCAGAGCCTGAGCACCATTGCTGCCATGGCAGTTCCATCACAGCAGTTCCATTTCTGGCTTTCTGAGGGACATTGGGTAGTTTTCTGCTGCACTGTAGCATGCTGCCATGACTGGGTCAGGGTAAGGGCTCTGGAAGGAGTCCAGAGCAAGGGAGGGCTTTGTCCAGCTGCTAACTCTTGTTCATTGCCCTTCATCACTCAACTGGATGCCATCCACCTCTTTTCCAAAAGTGCATTGCATTCCATGGCCTTTCTGTAGTGGACCTGCCATCCCCAACAGGATGTAAAGGGATTGGGGCATGGGGTGTTGCAGACAGGCCTCTGAGGCAGCTGGATCTGGGCTGGATGAGGGAACCAGAAGCTGTGACAATACAGCATTGAATGCAAAATTTAAAAGGGGTCAGAGTAGCCAGACCCTTCCACCAGAATGTAGAAAAGAAAGGCTTAAAGTTGAATATCTTGTATAAAAGAGCAGCCAGGAGTGCCTCTCCCTATCAGTTCTGCCCTCTTTTCACCCCTGCCTCTCTTCCTGCTCTGTGCTCAGCAACTGGTGAGGCTGGAGCTGGTTGATGGTGTGTGAGGAGCACAAAGACACAAGCTGAGGAAGCATTAATTGCAGGAGAGCACTGGGAGGGTGAAAGCTGTCCCCCTCTGCTCCAAAGAGGGCACAGTGTGTGCAGCACAGGTGTCACTGGGCTGTCATTTGGTGGGACTGGCATCATGTGTTTCTTCTGAGCCCATGGCAGTGTAGATGTGGGAACACCCCCTGTGATACCTGCCTGGTCAGCCAGAAAGATGAGAATGGAGGGTCTGGCTTGTGCAGACAGTCTAGGCTGGGAGATGGAATTGTCTTGTTTTTATGCAAGAAGTTTGGGGTTTACTCTTTGTTTTTTTAGCATATCCAGTTAAATATGGCCTTTTAATTAAGGATAAGCCAGTGTTTCTACCACAACCTCATAAAGAAACCCACTAAATTATTTGGTGGGTTTTTATAAAACAGGCAGTCTCTTGAGAAGAAAGGTCTAGGACTAAATTAGCAAGAATGCTGCAGGTCAGGTTTGAAGTACTGCATGGTGACAGAATTGTTTGAGAAGATTTGCCTGGGATTTTCTTTCTGCTTATCTGAGTTACCCTGCTGAAATCACTCAGATTATTTAAGTGAAAAGTGTCTTTCCCCAGTCAAGAATTTTCAGGGAATTTTTTTGAATAGTGAGCCCATTAAAGCAGGGCTGGCTTATTACTAAACCTTTAACTGAAATGCTGCTCTCCAGAATGGTATGTACAGTCTCTTCACAATACCAAACTTTAAAAAATGTTCCTAAACAAGCATGGACAATATGTTGGCATGAAATTTGTGATTCCTTTTTCATTAAGTGGTGCATTTTATCTTCCATGCATCATTCCAATCAGGTAGGGGCAGTGTTTTTTCAGCTATACATCAGCAGTTTGATTTTATGATATTTTTATGCCAGTTCTTACAGTACATCTGTTTGCCACTGAAGAAAGGTTCATTTTTAGCCATAGAGATTATTATAATAAGGAGGGCAGCCAAAGATAATCATCTTGCTAATAATTTCAGCCTAATAGTAATTTCTGTGCAATGCACATCATCTAGATAGTTCTTAAAAAAAAAAAAACCTGTCATGACAGCTAATGGAGCACAGAACTTAGCTTGATCCAACTAAAACCTGAGTGAAACCCTATTCATTTATTCAGACAGAATATTTGCATTTGTAAGTGTGTAGGAAGGTTTGATTAACATTATATCAAGGTTTTTATTTCCTACTTACTTCTCAAAACAAGCGTGGCAAACATATCCAGAAGATAGTTCAGAGGAACTCTGGAGCCCAGGCAATGTCTGAGTCCATGGGACACTTAGAGTTGTGACCTGATGAATTTTCATGCTGCAAATGTTGAGAAGGCCCTGGTCAAAGTATGCTTCCATTAGCTTTAGGTTCTGTAGTACCTTTGTGGTTAGCCATATGTCCAGAGTCTGGGTTAAAATGTCTATTTTCTGTGTGATTGAGAAGTTCATGCCTTCTCTTCAGCCTGTATCTTATCTTCTGTGTCTTTCTCAGGAAACAGATTTAAGTGTAAGGTAATACAAGAGTTGATAGACATAATCTAACAGATTTTGATAAAAAACAGCCCACTTAAATTATTGTCAAAATATACAGAGGGAATCAAAGTTTAGAAGTCTGTTTGAAGATATAGTATCAGTACCTTTAATTCAGTTTGTAATTATCTAAAACACACAGCAAAACAAATACCAAAAGCTCCACATCCAAAGCAGAACATATCCTTATATATAAAAGTGCTTAAAAATTCCCAACAGTTTGAAGACACTATGTTTGAAGTAGCATTTTAAACAGCTGGCAAGACTATGCCTTTTTCAGCAGTCTGTTGAATACTGTTGAATAGTTTTTCATTCCTGACTTAGAAACTGACTATGCATCCACTGAGCATAAAACTTAAAAGTAGTGAGCAAAGTCCAATCAACATTTTTATAGAAAAGCACAGGAGTCAGTGCCAAAGTGTTGTAGCTCTGTGAAGCTGTTCAAGTGTCCTGGCTTGCTTAGACTGACTCCTCTGTGGCCCAGACAGATTTTAAAGTTTAAAAATCTTCACTTTCACTTGAAAAGGCTTCCTAGAATACACAGTAAGTAATGCTTTTAACTCCTCAGCACATAGCAATAAGTCCAAATACAATTTGAAAAACTAAGAACCTTTTAAAATTTCAGAAGCTTCTTACAAGAATTAAAACAGCAAGGAGGTGATGAGCGTGATGCTGGAGGTCTGTGCTCTCTGTAGGGAAACACTCAGAGTGCCCTGTGTCCCTTGGGAATGTGGCTGCCCTGCCAGACTTTGGGTACTCATGGGTGATCTGAATCTTCCTATGCAAGCTTTTACTTCTCCCTCTTGACTCTGTGGGAAATTTAGGCTCACAGAGCCCCTACCTGCAGACCAAAATTCTCAGCTGTGGCATCATCCTCAGGTCCCCTCCCATGTGCCCACATCATTAAAGCTGGAGGTGATGGTGGTGAGATGTTGTGGTTTGTTCAGCAGTCACACTGAGTCTTAGCTGATGTTGCCAGTTCAGTAGCACATAGGAAACAGCCAGATCCTGTGTATTCCTCCTGAATCTCTCCACCCAGAGTGTATTCAGCAAGGGATATAAGAAATCTGAGGCCATTTGCCTGCACCAGAAGCTCAGTTTGCCCAGAGACATCCCCCACAGGTGTGTTCGCCCATTTCCCGAGCGGTGCGTGTACAAATGTACAAAAAAGCAGTGCGCTTCTACATTTCTGTATCAATTAAAATACTTCACTCTATGAAATTTCTGATTTTTCTGTTCTTCAAATTTATGAATAATCTTGTTTTATGCCAAACCCACTTGTATAGCCATATGTTGATTTTTCAAGTCAGGCTTATAGAAAGTTACTAGATTGCGTGATCACCTTGTCTGTCACAAAGGTAGCTGGGAAAGGAAGGTAAGTGTGAAAGGTATCATTTATGAGAATGATGTATGTAAGAATGCTTTAGGAAATCAGCATCATTTAGATGTTGCTGTAAAGATTCTGTATTCTGTTGTCATTTTGAGAATCTTTAAAGTGAAGTGTAAAATATAAAATAGAGTGGATCTGTGAAAACCTTAATGTTGTGTCCTTTGCCTCATTGTGAAGCAAGTGGTTGGTGGTTGTCTATGGGAGCTCTGACAATGCTATTCAGTCTCCTTAGTGTATGTTTTTTAATGTGTGTTCCATTGCTATTAGAGGTGTGAAATTACATTAAAGGAAACTTTCCAATTACCTAGCCTAAAACAAGTCCAGTCAGAATGTAAAACATACTGTATATTTTCCTAAACATTCTGAAGCAGGTTTGAAAAATCCCACTGACTTTGTGTTCCTGTTTTCAACCAGCATCTTAAAAAAAAAATACTTGTAGCATTTACAATTATTGTTAGAGAGATCAACTATTTGAAGACTAAGACTGTCAGTTCAGTTGTCTTAACAAAAGAGTAGTTCTATACTTCCAGTGTATCTCTTTTTAGACAGTACTGAAATAGAACATGTGAATGTTTTCTTCACTATTTCATTATTTTCATTTATTTATTGAAATAACTACACTGTCTTCTGTTGTTTGATGTTTGTATAAATGGTAAAGTAAGTCAAGCTAACTGTTTAGTTAGGAGGATTCATTCCCTGTCTCTTTAGACTATCATCCTACAAATGCTTATATAATTTACTTGGCATATATGTGCAGCAGGTTTTCAATTAAATGAATATTGATGGAAATATTACCCTAAGTTATAAAATAATCAGAGATTGGTTTAGCTCTGTTTTGTGGAACACCAAATGCTTTATTGTGACTTAACTATTAAACATGTGCAGCTACTTCCAGTGCACATAGTTCCCAGTTTTTATGTGTGAAATGAAATGCATATTAATGTGTGATATCTGTGTATGAAATTTGCAGATAGTAAGAAAAAGTGCAATGTTAATGGTATATCTTTATTTTGTAGCTTGGATCATCCTCCTCTGTGCCTTTTACATCCATATTCTCGCAGCTGTTTATGACTGTTGTAGTCCCTCTTATTATTGGACAGGTATGTCTTTTAAATATACATTCTTATTTAAAAAAACAAGATAAAGAGAGCTATCTTAAAGACAGACTGGCAACCTGATAAGCTGCCACATAGGAACAGCCTCAGGATAGTGCAGTCTAATATCAGGGAAAAGATGCTCCAGTGCTCCCTGGAGCCACATTGATCTTTGTTGAGATTGAGCATCTGTCCCTCACTACCACAAACACACGCTGCTGCAGAGAGAGGAGGGAGCTTGTGAACATAAAGTGGGAAAAATGGCAGCCCAGGCTGTGAGGAATTCCAGCCCCATACAAATGAGCTTGGAGAATACTACACAGTCCTTTTGTCACATGCCCTTTGCCTGGGGCTGAAGGAACTCCTTCCTCCCTGTGTAGTATCTACTAATAATTACAGGAATTAAAAAAAAATCTCAACATTAATAAACATATAAAGGCTAAGTGGTCACAAGTTAAGAAATCATCAAATTAAGGCTGCTCAAGCCATTTTGCTTATGCTTTGCAGTGAGGGGTTTAGTTGCACAACTGCAAACTATTTTCACATTTCTTCTCTATCGTGTTACACTGGGTGGAAGGTATTTGTAAAATGAACAGTTATTCAACATTTAATTTTATGCTCATTGTCCATATGTTCACACAAAGCCTTATTTTCCATGGCTTATGATAGAAAACTTCCACTGAATGTAAAAAATGCTAATTGCATGTTAAAGGTTTTCTGTGTTCCTTGTCTCTGCAGTGTCTGTTTGTTCACAAATGTTAAATGTTAATATTAACATTTCCATGTCATGGTGGGAAATCACAGTAGTAAGACCATAAGTTGTCATAACTGTTATCACTGCTCTTGGACACTAAAACACCTTAAGTCTAATTTTTACTTACTTGTAAGTATTTGTTGTTCTCAGGCACTCAGAATGCACAGAGGGTGTGTGAGTGGGATTTGCAGCTCATTCTAGCATCCACCTGAACTCTGGGTTCAACTGGAACCCTCTGAATTTTGTCAGCCTAAAGCAGATTTTGAAATGGAAGGCATGATTAAAATACAGGGAAATGAGAGCAGAGGCTGTAAAGGGGCACCCTGAACAAGGTTAAGAATGTTGTCATTGCCTATGCTACATAGGCAGTCAATCAATCTTGTATCAAACTATAATTGCACATTTCAAAATCTGCATGTACTGAAACTTAACAAATTGCTGGTGAAGTTTCTTTTGATTAAAAACACACATTGAGGTCTAATAAAGGGAAGAGCATGATGAGCATGACAGTAGTTATCAGCACCTGTGTAACCTCTCTGCAACCATATCATCTGGAAAATGGACATTAGCTCTGTGTCCCTGAAGGCTGTGGAACTGCTCTCATGCTTTGAATTAAATGCCAAAGAGTTTCCTTATTAATTAGGAAAAAGGGTTGCTGATTAACCTACCTCTGTATTGTGTTCTTACCTCATCAAAAGTAAGTGTCCACCAAAAGCAGACAAGCAAAAGTAGTTGAATCCTCTTCTGAAAGGTCCAAACAGTGAAAGCTGTTAGTTGGAAGCCTTAAGTGGAAATTTCTAGGAAACAAATGCCCAATAGCAGATTTAGCAATAAAGTGTCCTATAGCCATGGAGTATCAGCATCTGTGCTGCAGTGTAATAAGCCCAAAGATGATGGTAGATTGCTGGACAAAGTAATGGCAAAATTTCAAGAGAACTTTCATCTGTGTATATAATGGAATGTTACTTGGGAAAGATGTTATAGGAAATTGATATGTCAGCTAACTGGTGGAGTTGGATGTTCTTTCAGCTGTTAAAAGTGATAGGGCTGAGATCATGAATGGAGCAGTAGGCATATGAATTAAGTGCTCTGTGTGATCACAAGATCGAAATCAGAATTGTGATTCTGACTGAGATGAAATTTAAGAGTTCTGATAAAGACTGAAAGAAAAAATACAGAATCTTAAAGCTTGTGTAACCCAAAGACAAATGAATAGTTTGGGTTTTTACAAATACACTTCAACAAGAAATAGGATGATTCTTCTTTAAAAGTCTTTGAAGCAGTTTTTAGAAGTGAAAGATCAACAAAAGTAGCTCATGTTCGTCTAAGCATAAAGGCTTTGTTTCTGAAGTTACTGCACTTGACTATATCTGTTCAGAGGATGTGGAAAAGAAGAAATGCTAATGAAAGCTACAGCTCAGAAATGCCAGCAGTTTACAGTGATTGTCTTGGTTAGGTTGAGCTGTACAAAGGTAACCCAACCTGCCCAGAGAGGAATGAATAGAAGCCATTTCTGAAGGTGGATACCCAAAAGTAATGGGCAGGAGTCAGGGAAGACAGCAAGCAAGAAAAGGACTGATGCCAAGAGATCCAGTGATAGGTCTGCTTGCCCTCCTTCTGCTCCAATTCAATGGGAAGTTGTGCCCTTTGTTCATAGAGCACCACAGACTCATCACTGAGGTGTTGCCTGGCTTGTGGTACACAAACATATTTGTGAACCACAGGTCACTCACTCTGGGGGTCCAGATAGGGAATAATGGGAATAATATCCAGTTGGGGGATAATGGCCCACAATTCCTGACTGATGCCTTCAGCAATTGATTCAAATGTATCATTTCATGCCCACAACATCAATTCCTCACCACATGCAGCCATACTGTTCAGCAGAAAAGTCAGTGGAAGAGTGTCTGGTAAGGTGACCTGGTAACAAAGAGCTTGACTGGGGGGAAAAACCCTCAAGCTTGAAACCTGCCTGCTTGGAGGATTGCCTCTCCTCAGCCTTCCTAGCTCATCTGTGATCAACAGGGGCTTTGTGCTTAAACCACATCAGCCTAAAAGAGAGGAGGCTGCTTAAAGGGCTTTCTTTTCCTTTAAAAAAAAATCTTGCCTCTGGGAAAACCTGTGTTGCCTAAATGCTCATTTCCTGAGCAGGCTGCAGAGCTGGCTGTTTGAGCAGCCTCTGGGATATAAGCAAAGCACATAAAAAGGTGCTTTTTGATTTGTTCTGTTTGGGGTTTTTTTTTGTTTGCTTTATGGCAAAACGTACCAAGAGTTTTGGTTGCTTGGCTGGCTTGTCAGAATTTTTGATGATGGCTGGGAAAAAGAAGTCACAATAGTGTAATTGATGCTTTTTTCCTGGTTTTTGAACAGTTTTTTTAGCTTTTTAGGACTACTATTGACGGGAGTCAAACATGCTCTTCCAGCCTAGCTGCTGACATTGAAATGTATAAAGGGCTGCAGGTACAGGCTCTGCTCAGGTGGTGGACCATTCTTTAGGGAAACAAAGAGCTGTTAAAGGAAGAAGATACTATGTTATCAGAAAGGTGCTGAGTCTCACAGATGGCAGTGATTGATAGATGGTCCCCAATAAGAATAGCTCTGTTCTTTGTCAGTCATGCAGGTTGTCTGAACCTAAAAAATGTTGTAGCCTGTGTCCTCGGTGTCTACAGATGTGTTCTGCTAATTGACAGGCTGGTGTTGCTCAAATCAGTATTGATAGTATAATATTGCATTTGTATTTGTGGAGTAACAAATAAGACCCCTCTGACAAGAAGTCTCAAAAAGGGACATAATCTGTAGCATTTTATAAAGATCTAATTTCCTATAAGCCTTGAAGATCTGTAGTGGGTAAGAGCTTGTTATTTGTGCATCACTCTTGTATACCTCTAAGGGGAATTTGAGAATACTTGTTATACAATAAACATGGTAATAGATATTTCGTGAAAAGATTTTTGAATCTGCTCTGGCAGCTTGAAGTTCTGATTATTTTTTATCTGGGTAACAGAGTCCTGGGCTAGATTACTGCTCTTGAGCTGTTGTGATTTTGCTACAATCATTGTTTCCTTGCCCATAGATATTGGTAATACTTTTAGCCATCAAAATGTAAGGTTTTGTGAAATATCCAAGCAGCTTCTTCCTGACCAGTTGTGAGATTTAGCTGGAGACTGTTGTTTCTTTGCTTATTTTTTTCCTTCTGAAGTGACAGATAACAGGAACAGTGAAACCCACCACAATGTTTCCTTTCCCCTTTTTGCAGACTTTCTCCGTTCCCTACACCTAAGTGCTTATGACAGACTTTTATTTTATGTTTTATATTAAAGAGCGATTTATGATTAAATGTTAATGAAATAGAATTTTCACTGTGCTTTCATTATATTCTACTAGTTTGAACATTTTTCAAAGCAGCACACCAAAACCCACTGTTTTCTATGAATAAATAATAAAAAGCTTGTCTGTACATTATCATTCATGCATTCTCTAGTTGCCCCATTGGTAATTTGTCTGCCAGCGTAAAGTGGGCACTTCACATTAAACAGACCTTAACTAAAGCTAGAATTAATGTTATGATTCTGTGCAGTTCTTCTTCCCAAATCTATAAAATGAAACCAGTTGTACAGAAATCCTCAGTGAATCTAGTCACACACACAAAAAAATCTTGATGTCCTACAAGTAAAGGATCTTAAGTGCCTTCTGCATCATTGCCCAAAATGTTCCAGAGGAGCCCTTTGAGCATTTGGGAGCTGTGCTTATCAACACAAGTCTAAAAGGGTGCTATGTTGCAATACAAGTTGTAAGTGAAATTGAAACTAAAAAGCTTAGCAAGGTATTTCTTTTTAAAGAATGAGAAATGGAAAAGGGAAGGTAGATGGAAGTTGATAGGAAGTAGAAGGAATTATTTAACTAAAGTGGGGGAAATAAAAATTAACAGAACTGTTATTAAAAAAAAAGGGGGGGGGGGGGGGGGGACAGTGTCAAATCTGTCTCTTGTAAATGAAATCCACATAGAAGGAATCTTTATTCTCTTCAAAGTCCAGGAGAGCTGCAGGGAGGAGAGGTGCCCTGGGAGATGAGCTCTCCAGGAGCTTTTTGCAGAGGACCAAAGAAGGGGATAAACAGCCTTCAGAACACACTTCACTCCCTACTAAGACCTGACTCAGCAGGGAACAGAGCCTGCTTTCCACAGAATGCAAAATATGAAGGAAAGGTACTGATGCTGCAGACACCCTTCACATTTTTACCATGTTGCACCTGT